TTACTGTGAGTGCAAGAGAATGCCGGAGCACAGCAAGAAGAGCTGACTCTCCTCAGGGGTCACTAACTCAACATCACTTATCAATTTGCTGGATATGCATTATCCATCATCGAAAACTGCCAAGAGAGGTGACAACATGATGTGAAAGATGATAGGCATTCACTACCTTAGAACGTTTTTGGAAGACTGTTTCACTTGTTGCTTTATCTGCACTGAAACTGACTGCAAGTTAGCTCAAGTTCTGCAGAAGTCACTGCTAAAACATTACAACCAAAGTCAAAACATGCCAACACAGTCTCAGACAATTCAAGCAATTCAGGGCTTGAATTGCTATCTCTTTGGGAGGATTCCTTTCAGTCAAAACAGCACTCATCCTAGCAGCACTGAGTTACTAAGAATAAGCTGCATTTAAGGTATTTTATGCTGCAGTGCAATAGTCTCAAAGCAGACAGAAGTCAAATAAATAGCACCCAGAGGAAAACAAGACCATTGTTTCCAATCATGTGGTGGCTTTTCTACATCCTCAATCTTTTCTGTTCAATTTAAATTGTCTTTTTATTTACTATTTGTTGTTGTGATGTAACAGTATCTAATATACATCAGTAAAACGAAGGGGAAAAAAAACCCTGACTAGCTGGTTTGGTGATAGATGGAATTTGTGTGGGAGCAGAACAAACTCAAGTAAAACTCAGAAAACTGTTAAAATAAAAAAGAGCAAAATGAACAAATAAAGTAAAATTTAAAACTCACAAACCCTGCCTTCATTTTTATATTTTCATTGCTATTGTTTCTAAAACAGCCAACACAACTTTTTTGAGGATATATATCCCTCAGCAGTAGGTGACACTGTGAGTTTGATTCACAGAGAAATTATCACTTTTTAGATTTACTCAGAAGTGTGATTATGACTTTTTTTACAATTTTATTTGGCTAACACAACAAACCATCATTTATTCACCAACTCATATCTTGATGAAGCAGGAGGATAACCAAGTCGGCAAATTCTGCTAGGATCAAGACTGGCTTCAAGTTTGTGGTAAGGATAAAACAAAGTCTTTCTGCTTATCATTTTTCCAGGAACAGCTGCTGCTGAAAAAGCTCCAGATTATGTTTCAGAATTGGAAAAAATAATTTAGTCATGCTCTTTGAGCAGCATCAATGTACCATTTATGTTCAGTATGCAGAGTTAAATCTGCTTCAAGACCTTTTCAAAAGGAATGGCATCACAATATTACTTGAGGAAAAATAAGATCGTGGAGAATAAAAACTTCTGCCTTTACGGGTAGACTGCTTTTCTATCAACTCACTGTTTGGTAAAAAAAATAAACAAATAACCTAGAAATTTTTAATTTTAATTCTTTCAAGTACTTGCTCAAATTTTCTGTGATTTGTGCACTATTTAATGAGATTTTGTAAAAACATAATCACAAGATTTACCTTAGTTCACACTTTGAAAAGTACCTAGAGGTTACTCAACAACAGAACAGTCCATCAAAATTTACTGCCCTAATGTATTTGCAAAAAAAAAAAAAAAGACCACTTTTGGAAATGTCAGACAGGTGTTGCCATAAAAATTACCACCTGCATATGGTATGCTATGTGCAGAGACATTCTTTTCTACACAGCAATTTTGGTTACTATTACCCTACTACAACCACCATATTCCTTGCCCTCTCTTCACAACTCTAAGCAATTAGACAAATGCAAAACCACTAAAATTATGTTGGTTATTGAGAGAGTAACTAACAAACTTATTTCCATATTTCTCCCTATTAATATCATGTTCATTACCAAGTCCACGTTTGAGCACTTTGACCACCAACTGTGCATTCTACCCTGTTCCCTCTTTCTTCTGATTGTTGCAATTTTCTTGTGCTGCTTTGCCAGTTCGCTATCAAATACCCTTGTAAGTACAAGCTCTTGAAAACTTCATATTAGTGTTCATCAAAATGCACAATATAATTTATCTCCCATAACTATAACCTTATACATCATCTGGGCTCACATACTTCACATTGATGTAGCACAGTTCTTTTAAAGCCAGGAACCTACAACATATTTAGTTAGATCTGGTACTCAAGGGCTGGGATATTTTAGAGAATCAACCAAGAAGAGCAGCTTCAAAATAAACATACATATAAGATCTAACCCTGCACACTTCAAAGTCGTAGGAAAGATTTTTATTAGTTTCACTTTTTATCAGTTTTGGTTTGTTATTCAGGCCCAGTATCCGGTTTCATTCCTTTTGCTCTGCTCCTCCTCTCTATTCAGCACCCTGCACAGGCTGTCATATTCTACCTCCTAATGCTTCATGGAACTGCATGCAGAACACAGGCACTCAAAATGCCAAACAAGAGAGACTTTCCGAAGTTAAACTTAGCAGCAGCTACAAGGTTCAGAAATCACCCATATTTCCAAAGAGTCCTCAGGAATATAAAACACAAAAATCCTCGTCTAAAGGATGCTCTGACTCCAAAGTTATATTACAAGACAGGCACACTCCTGAAAATGCTGTGTATTGCAGAGGAAAGCTGTAATTCAGGTGAGTTTTATTCTTCGCTTTAACCTCAGGGAAAAAGAAAAAAAATACTACTTTATTGAACTTCAAGATAAAATAAGAGAAGGCACTATTTAGACATTTTATGAAGAGAATGCTTTCCAGAGTATTTTGGACATAGGATGTTGCACGGTAACTACCACAACAAAATTCAAAACCCTAGGAAGAATTTTAATATCATTATTTCAAAATTTAGTTATCAGAACTTCAAATACTGAACAGCAGCATTTAGTTATAATGTCCCTAAATAAAACTCATGTATTAGGCAGCACTCAAATATTATTTAAAAGCTATATTTTGTTTTAGTTACTGAAGTTCCACTTCTGAATGTTATTTATTGACTGACAAGTGACTTAAACTACAATTATGAGATGTTAGCTGAAGTGAATGCCAAGTCTTTATTTAGACAAAATCTCTCAAAGGATGGTGTCAGCCAAGCAGTGTCCTCGGCCTGCCAGCAGCAGCGGTGCTCCCCAGATGCACAGCCCAGACTGCAGAGTCCCTTCCAGCCCTGCCAGTAACCAGGTGGACAGCACAGGGGCATCTCCACTGGCTGCCCTTGCAAGGGGAATTTTAACTGTTTGGGCCACACAGCAGATGCATCCTTCCAAGCTAAATTGTTCCTATGTCACTCATCAGCAGGAGGTGTCTGCTGTACATTTGGACAAACCAACAGCACAGTGCTGGTGACTGAGGTTGCTGGGGCTAGGAAGTTTTGGAATGGGAATGTTGATATTCCAGTAAGAAGAATAACTGCTAAGAATTTAATGGACTGTTCAGTCACTAAAGGTGATGTGTTATTAGTGTCATTAGCATAACACTAGTGCTAATGTGTTATCCTTAAATATTTAGTACTGTTAAAAGGTTTCAAGACACTAAGAATCACCTTTATACAAATGCCTGTTTTGCCAAATATCCCTGACTTAAGACTCTTGACAGGAGTACCAGCCAAAATCAAGAGGCTTATGCTGCTACTCCTAATTGTTACCTGAGCAGCAACAGGATCCAGTGTATAAGATCCCTCACAGGGCTGCAATGACTCAATCAGTAATGCTGCAGAACAAACCACAGAACATAAATGCCTACTAGAAACAGCCCAATGCAAAACACAAATACTGACACTGAGTGAACAGAGATCCATCCAGCACGAGCCCAAACAAGTCTGAAAATGGCTTTACTTTGTTTTTACACTTCTGCCTGCTGGGGCACATTTATTACTGAAAGCAACTTCTCCTGAAGCATTGCTCATCTAATTTGCAGTCAGTGCCTGTAGCACCTTCCACCCTCTCCTATACTACACCAGAGTCATTGTGTGAGTTTGTTATTGCTGGAATGCTGCAATTACTGCTCTGCCCAAATGCTATGGTCACATTACCTATAAAATGTAAATAGAGATGTACAGAAAAGTTAAATCTGCTCTTAGCGATTATTATACTATGGTGATTTTCCCGCAACAGAGAATGAGGCCTTTGTTCCATGCCAACATTTAGCAATTTATGCAGAAATAGTCTATGCAGAAAAAAACCCCATGACCTACTCAACAAATTTTTTTTGTAATGCCATAACTATCTTATTTTTAAGGGATATACAGATAAAAAAATACACATATAAATTTATTCTAAAAATGGCTGTATCAAATAGAACTGTGTCTGTCCCAAAGGGCACAGATTTAAGGTGTCAGCTTTCCAATCAGGGTAGTTGCAGCAGCACACAAGCCAAGTGTAACCCAGTTCCAAGGACATGGCCAGGAAAGAAGCTCCCAAAATGCAAGGGGCGAAAACAGAACCACAGAAGCCACATCACTCATGCTATCCTATTTGCTATGTTTGGAGTTTCTGAAGGACATTTGTAGACTATTTAAATTATCCAAATAGTGGAGTCTAATTGACATTTATATAATATTCTGCTTACAGTTATCTGTATTTCCCTCTCCCTCTTACACTTAATCTGTTTTGCAACAGATGTTATCAAAGTTATAACAATATATAGTTCTCATGTACCAATTACTAAGCTTACTAAGTATTACTAAGTATAAAATGGCAAAGTCAGGTAAACATTTACATTACCTCTTCACTACCAAACAATACCACATTTAGATAAAGTTTGATCTAAAGCAACAGTACTTTTATCTGAATATTGTTTCAAAAACTTCAAATTAAATGTATTTTTCCAAGTAAGTAGTATTTCACAAACTACATTCGCAAAGCTGTTGGGCAGATTTTCACCCTGTTAGCGCACCACAGCACTAGAGAATTCAATAAACCTTTAGCCATTCCAACCTATTAAGAAACTAAAATCAGCATTTCAAAAGATATGCACTTCTCCCACCTAGACCTTAATTTTTTTAAACAGGTCACATGCTACAGTATATCACACTATATATATTAAAAAACTCTTCCAACACAGGCCATTATAATTCCAAAAATTCAAAATTGTATCTTACCAAGACTGAACTCCAGCTTTGGCTCATTTGCAATTCCCTGAATACCTTAAAAGGTCAAGAAAAAAAAATATTAGAGATCATTTGATTTCCATGTCTTGCTTTTTTAATACATAGTAAAACTTTCACATGCCTATAACTACTGCCATTGCCACTGAAGTAACATTTTATGTTAGAAACTCATAGTCAAAGCAAACTTGGATTAAATATTTGCCTGAAAAAAGGCTACTTTTGAAGAAGACTTCCTTCTTAATAGAAACTTTCTGTTTCTGGGAAAGGGAATTAGGAAAAAAACCCAGGTTCTCACGAGTTTGTAAGATTTTCAGTCACAACAACTGACAATATATACGTTGGAAAAATATTAAGTCTCATAAGTAATTTTTAAATAGATATGTCATCACATTAAAAATAAACTCCATGTTTAGTGACAGTAGGTAGATCAGGTTAATATAGTAAAATATAAACACATTATTGATCTACAAATTGTAAAGCAATAAGCCCAACTTCTTTTTGTTGAAGAATCAATACATTAATTCCTCTCCTTACGTAGCAGGAACAGGAACAGTTTAATCCATTGTGGAATTATGTTCTGTTGCAAAGGGCAATATTTTCTTGTGTTAAAATAAAGGAGTGAACCACAGAGATGCAACAAGAGAAAAGTAAGAAGCAAGGAGGGAAAGGTGAATAACAATTAGTTGTTCACCTGATGCACAAAGTAATTGGATCACAACTACAGTTTCAATGAACTTGTAGAAAGTAAACTCTATCTTCTTAACATTTTAGTACTGTCTCCAGTAAGCATTATTAATTATTGCTCAATATTGAAGAAATTGGTCACATGGGAAGGATTCGGTTAGTATATGAACTGGAACAAGATTTTGGTTAAAAAAAAAAAAAAAATTTACAAACCCATGAACAAAAGAATCACCTCAAACTTATAGCTGTGACTGCTCCATAAAAACATGATGCTGCTAAGTCTAGATTCACACCATTTTCATTAGTGTAGCTATTCATTCACATCTGTGTGAGGAAAATTACAGCTGCAGAGCTTAGAATGGTCCAAAAAGAAAAAAAATAAAATGCTGGGTTTTTTTTTTTCGTTTGTTTGTTTGGTTTTTTTAAATGAAGCTTTAACAAATTTCTGAGTTCAACTCTGCCAGTAGCATATTGTCCTGAAACACCTTCATGAATATGCTGGCTACAGAATTGATTAAGTGACCGGGCAACTGAAAAACAGTCTTCTGACTCTAGTGCACCAAATACAGCTCAGCATATGGCTACCTGCATTCAAATCCCCAGAGTGCTTTTACATCACACAGAACAAACCTGTGATACTAGTTTAAGTATCACTAGAGATTTATGCATTTATCAAAGTTATCAGACTATATTTTAACCAGTAATCCATATAGGACATAAAATACAAAAAATTAAAAAATCTTTAAAGTCTTATGAACAAAATAGGTTAGAGAGAAAAACTCAGAAACACAGAAATTACACATTTGTTCCCCTGAAGGTTATGTGCATAAACCAAAATATGTCAGGGAAAAACATTTAAAGACAATTTTCATCAGTTTATTTAATCTAAACTGCACTTTGACAAGCAAGAAGTTGAACAGCATTTTGTACCCTACTTGTGACACTATCTGAACTGCCACAGAGACTGGGCCACTTTTATTGTACCATTCCATAAAATGAGTAAATGCACTTACTCGTCAACTGGGGCTCTCCTAGACTGTCTAACTGGGATGAAGGGAAAAACTGTCGTGCTTCATCTGATGATCTCTCCTCTTTGATTTCCATGATCAGCGTCTGGAGCTGCTGAATTTTATTCTGCAAACCTTCTGAGTTCACCTCTCCCAGTGCCACAGCCCAAGATTCCCAGTCTGGCTTTGATGCAGCTTCAGGGTAAAGATCCGGTTTTCCACTCTGAAACCCTGCACTCAGAAAGCATGAAAGCAGCTCTTAGGGACTGTGATTGGAAAGGGAGATGATGGAATAACTGATGTCACAAACGATCAAAACCACTATATTCACACTTATGTTCATGGTCACAGAAACATTAAGCCCCATCCACCTCTGGACTCAAATCCCAGCTCTTTCAGAATCGATACAGTACTAAACATATCCAAGATCAGTTAACAGATGGCTAAATTAGGTGGCAGAATCAAACCAAAATGGGAAATCCTTTTCCAGCACAGATTCTGCAGCCTAGCAGGCAGATCTCTGAGCTGCTAATTTGACAACAAATTTGATTTAGCAAGGGCAGTAGACATAGTTCTGTCAGAGAGTAGGATTCACCAGAATGAATGTATCCATCATCTCTTCTATTAAAGATCTCTATTATGCTCAGCCTCTCATTCATACTTGCCAGAATACAGATCAGGAACACATGCAGATAATTTAGCACGACATAACTCCTCTATGAAGACTCAACAGGTTGTATGTGGGAGCTTCTGACCTCATTATCATCCATGTGTCATTTGCTGTTCTGCCTGGGTCTAATTATTTAATGATCAAATTTTCTGAGAACAAAAGAAGAAGAAGGGGAAGGGGGAAAGCTGAAGCTCCCAAGGAATCCAGGTAAGTAGTAAGGATTGGTCATTTGATTAGTATTAGAGCAGGAAGAAAAAACACCTATTAGGCATTAAAAATTCTGCAGTATAGGTGGCTTCACAGAGTCATAAATTCAATGTGACATTTAGTGCAACAAACACCAAGAAAAGCAAACTGGGAAAGAAAGAAAATCAATGTCTTTTTTAAACAAGTTACCAACTTACTTAGAAATATAAAAATCTATAAAACACCTGTGCTATTTTATTAACAAGGATTGAAGTATTTCATTGGGCCTAAAAAGTATTCTGAGCTAAATCAGCCATATATCACTGGACAAAACAGAACAGTGAAAGGTTTTCATACTTAGTTTGAAAATCCAAAAAACATAGAAAAGTTCTTTTCCATACAATGTGAACTTAAATTCTGTTCACTACCTTGAGTATCTAACTTTGGGCACTTGCACACATGTTATTCTAAACCTGTTTGTGCTTCATAAACTGAGCATCTGCCAGTTACAATAACCTCTGCTTTTATGGTTATGGAGGGGATAAAAGATGAAACCTCAAATCTGGAAGGCTCTAAAAACTGTATACTAATCCCTGTGGAGGTAGGACAAGTTTTTTTCCCGGGCTAGATCTAAGGAAATCCAACTGTGTGGCTGCAAATGCTGCTAAAAAATGCTGGGTAACATTTTATGTAACAGTTGGACCATAGATTTCATGAGGAAAGACTGCAAAGAAAATTAAAATGGAAACAACTGCTTCAGAGGCAGATAAAAAGCTAATAACCCTGACTCTGTCAGAATAAACAAGTATTCAGTTCTTCAGAGAAGAATATTAAAAATCTTGGGGAGATGCAGATGTTTATCATATCCTGTTTTCAGACAAGATCTTTTCTTGAGTGACCAAACATGACCAAGATGAGCTCTGCTGTTTGTCAAAGATGACTGAAGAGACAGAAGATTTAGCTGTAAGCTCTCCTGTGATCTGGTACTCCATGTGAGTCATACTTTCATGAAGTAACCTTAGAAAGACCAGTATTTAGAGAAGCTCTTAACTTTTCTGTTGCTCTGGTAAGGTCTGCACCAGCAGACTGCTCTACTCCCTCCTGTCATTGACATCAATGAGTCTGAAGTCTATTATATTTGACAGTATTTTGGAGCTAGCAGTGGAAAATTGAAAGGAAAGGAAACAAAAAGCATGTAATAAACCAGCATCAAGATCAAAATTAACTAATTAACTTTAATTTAAAAGAAAAACATAAAAGAAAAACCAACCAAACAAAAACCAACCAAACAAAAATTTAAAAACTGAACAAAAAAAAATAAACCACCAAAATGCACACACAAAAAAAACCAACTAACCACAAAGTTAGCATCTGCTTATACCATTCAACCTTATAAAAGCACAAAAGCACAGACCATTTTAATAAAAGCAGTTTGGATATCCAAAGTACCTTAGGTGAAAGAAAAGCTGTCAGAGAAATAAGTCAATACTTAACAGCCAACATACAAATATACCAAGATGTTCTTTTCTTTTCTCCCTGTATCTTTAAATGTAAATAGGAACAGTAATCTTGCCTTGAAACATTCTACCACTAGCTTGATAAAAAATATCTGCTTTGGGAGGAAATCTGTTTTTCAATTCATGAAATCATGCTATTTATATTTACCTCTTAGCTGTAAAAATCAGAGTGCCAGGCTCAAAAGGCATACTGAATCATCATTAATATGCATGGAACCAGAAATGGAGAGTGAAATGCAATAGGAGTGGGCATAATTCTGATCTAACAGGTGCCACTTTTGAGATGTGGAAATTCATTCTAAACTATCACTTCAGAACACTACAGTCTGCTATATTTAGATCCTTTGAGTATTCTGACAGCTAAGTTAAATTCTGAAAAGCATATGAAAATTCCTGGAAATGACTCATCACTGCAAATGTAAAAGGTTTCATTCTGCAGTAAGAATGAAATAATCAGTAGGTATACTGATACCAGTATACCTGGTATAGGTAAGTTACCTATTTTCCATTCTGTTTCAACGCACATAATCACAGCATGGTTTGTGTTGGAAGGGACCTTAAAGATCATCTTAGTTCAATCCCTCTGCCACTGGACAGGAATACCTTCTGCTAGACCAGGTTGCTGAAAGCCCCATCCAACCTGGCCTTGAACACCACCAGGGATGGAACATCCACAGCTGCTCTGGGCAGCCTGTGCCTGTCCCTCACCATCCTCAGTGACTAATTTCTTCCTAACATCTAAACCTGTTAATTTTTAGTTTAAACCCATTCCCTCTTGTCCTCTCACTCCATGGCCTTGTAAAAAGTCCCACTCCAGCTCTCCTGTAGATTCCCCTTTAGGTATGGAAAGGTTTATATACCCAAATTCATCTTGCCAAAGGAAACACAACATGAAAAATGCATGCTGACAAAAATGCCTGTTGCAATAAAGGAGCACACAGGTTTATTTATGTAATAAAGATAATAATCTCTTTGCTTTTCTCCTTCAAATAGTTGCTTTCTATTATTTTAAATCAGCTGCATACAGTACTCCCTAACAAACTGAGACATTTAATTCCAAATATCAGTGGGGAAAAAAATTGATATGCATCTTTCCCAAAATGAAACTAATGGACCTACAAATGTAATGAAGGCCCCAAACAAATGGCAGACATATCAGAAGAGTTACATAAATAATTAAATTTAAAAAATTTTACTCCATGTTTCATTAAAATATTAACATTTAAGTAAATAGGAGATATATTGATTCATAAAAATATAAATAATACACCTAAATGCAGTAGTATTTCATAGGTGGACAAAAGGACTTCATACTTTGCTGCTAAGAAGTTATTGTAGAACACAAGCACCCTGTGCTATACTGTTACTGCTGAAAGGAGTTACCATGAGTAGTTTTGGAAGAAAACCTTAACTTTTGCAAACATGTACTGCTGACATCAACAGTGCCTTATCTAGTTTGCACTCCTAGTTTTACTGTTGTAATATCATTTTTGAATAAGATGACATGTAAGATTTAAGAACATACTATATTAAGTCAATTTTCTACTTACAAATCTGCAATAGCAGAACAATAATCTTCCTCTTAAAGCTGGACATCCTCAGTGGGGTTTCCAGTTCATAAACCCTGGGGAAAACCTTCAAAAAACTAAACACACTGGTTTCTTTTTGAGAACAAACTTTGAACTTAGTAGTACTTGTTGGAATCCAAAATGCAGGGAATTCTCAGAACTTTGGGCCTGTAAGCCAAAGCTTAGAATTAAACACAGGATTTGATCTGAGACCTTGGAAAAGGCTTCCAAACTTAGGTGCCAGAAGCAAGAATGTGGATTTAAAGCAGAGACACGTTAAGCTAAGTAAAGGAAAGTTTAAAGTTTTAAAAGTGTAGTATTGTAAGTTTGTGTGTCATAATATGATTGGCTAAGAAAGCTTACACTCCAGCTTGAGTCCATAAGATGAAATATTTAAAGATTGAGTCAAAAGCATAAATATCCTTGTTAGCAGTGTTTTATTGGTTAATAAATCCTCAAGACTTGTAACTGGAGGTCTTGTGACCATCTGAGCAATGCAGTGAAGCTGTGAGCCAAACTCACCCTTCCTGCCTATGTAGAAAATAAGAAAAATAAGAAAATAAGAAAAATAAATAAAACCATCGAAAGCAACTCAGGAATCCCATCTATAATTCATTCAAAATTCCTTCAAAATCCCCACAGTACTATATTGAAAGGAAAATTATAGATCATTGTATCTCTATCTCTGCTGCTCCTCCTCATTTCAGTATCAGAGACCCAACAGAAGGCAAGACCTGAGGATCTGATCTGTTCACCAACAACTCTTTGCTTAAGCACAGTCTCAAAGAGACTTTCTCCCACAGAAATCAGCACAGAAAGTTTTGGTCCCACAGGACTTGTGCTGCTCAAATAAATAACTCAATGCCCCTACTCTGAAGGACTGCTGTCATAAGAGGGAACAGCACAAAGAGCTGATACATTCCTAGTGGCACTGGAAAGCCTTTTCTACACTAATCCAACAGCCTAAAATCAGAAATGTATGTTGATGTCAGTTCCTTCATATTCAGAAAACTTTTCTTCTTTCCTTTATTTCCTAAAAAAATTTATTCTTCTCAAGTTTTTCAATTTAAGAGTAGCAGTTGCTTCTTTTCTCTAAATACTTATATAGGTCAGTTATTTTTAAGATGCAAACAAATTTCTTGCTAAAAATGTCTTGAGTGACATTTCCTTAATTTTTTAAAGTATTTTATTGTAATTTTAATCACAATCTTTTACACAGAAACTTTAGTTTCTGGTAATTCACCAAAAAAATGTAGGCAGTTATTGAACCTGATTCTTGTCTTTCAAAAG